TTTTTTTTTTTTTTTTTTTTTGTAATTTAAATAAATAATGGACTTTATTTTAAATCATAAACGTGTGCAGATTTTAAATTAAATTAAATAATATGTCATTACAATTAGTGATAAAATATAATTAAAATTGATGTTTTTTAAATTTGAATATTATAGCTAAAATTGGTGCACCATCATTTTCATAATTCAAATTGAAAACAATAGATTTAAAAATAATATATATTTTTTAATTAAAAACTCAAAAACCATAATTTTTATTATTTAATTGCAACAATTTTATTGACATTCAATTTCGACTATAATTATAATTTTAATATCTAAAAGACGTATGATTATTTTTTTTGGAATGAGATATTTTTTATATATATTATATTTATTTCAATTACAATTTTATAATAAAATATCGAGTGAAATATAACATGGGGAAAATAGTTAAAAGGAAAAAATAATTAATTAAAAAAAGGAAATTGTCAGATCAGCCAACTGGAGTAAATGTCAGTGTCGGGACGGAAAAATGAGCTTAGATCTTTTTGGTTCTCTTCTAAAATATCTCTCTCCTCTATATTTTAAATATTCAGATATTTTCACTGCCATCCCCCAACCTTTCTCCACCCGCTCGACTACACTATTCTTGGCTACTCGCTCTCTCATTCCCCCACCTGTCCCTCCACAGTTACAAATTTTTATGATACATTTTCGTGACATACAAATATCATCCAATTTCATATTATATTAAATCTAAACCATCCTTAGAATTTTAGATAAAAAAAAAAAAAGAAAAATAATTTAAAATGTTAAGAATGTGTTTTATTACTGACCTTTATGATGAAATAACTCGACATCAAGCTGTGAAAATTTGTACTCAGACGATGATTTTAAAATCATAAAAAAATTTAATAAAATATAATTGTCATTATTGTAATTTTTTTTTATATAAAAATATTATAGACTTATTAGATTTAAAATTAAAATTTTATATTTGAGAAATAATGTTTAAATTTTAATATTTAATAGGCGAAGAGAGAAGGAAGGCGAGTAGGAAAAGCACTTAATGAGGTAATCTGTACTCGCGTTTGGGTCAAGCCAACGCAAAGGAGATGCCAACCTATTGGCTCTCTTCGTAGATCGCTCTATAAAAGCCATCGTAATTAACTCCAAACCCACCGGAAAACTCCATTTTTCTTCCTTCTTCTTCTTCTTCTTCTTCTTCGTCTTCTTCTCTGTGTTTTCTTTCCTCATAAACCCTAGCCATGGCGTCGCACGTGCAATTCAGCAAAACGGGGCCGTTTTGGACCGATGAAAAGCACGTGCACTTCTTGAATTCCATGGAAGCTTCTTTTGTCCGATCCATGTACGAAAATCTGCACCATCGCCGCCGTCTACGGTTGAACCGCCTCCTCCCGGACACTGCTGACTCAACCCTAGATTCGCATCAGAAGTACAGGAAAAACCACCATCCTACCGCCGGTGAGTTTAGGGTTAACGTCAAACAAAAGAGGACGATGATTATTTTCGATTATTTATTTATTTATTTATTTAACTAAAAAAGGACCAATCAAACAGCGTCAAACTATACCATAAAAGTGGGAATAGTGAATATTCCTTACGAAGATATTTATATATATATATATATATATGCTTGCATTTTCTTTTTTTGTTATTATTGCCTTTTTTAAATAAATAAATAAATAACTTTTGCCTGTGATCCAGGAGGTGGCAGAATGGACGGTAGATCTAGCAGGAGATCGAGGAGGATATCATCTCTACCGCCCATTTCAATTCAAGATCAGGTTAGTCAGAACTCCATATCAAACATTGCATTTCTTCTTTCTTTCTTTCTTTTTTCTCTTCCAATATTAGAAATTGTATATTAAATATATCCACACCATTTTTTATTTTTTTTATAAACTTTTGTTTTTTATCCCCTACAAGTTTGGTTGAGTTGAATTAGTGCTCGAACGATTGATTTTAAAAAAAACATTTAAACATATTACATTTATCTCTAATATATGTTAGAATATCAAATATTTATAAGTCGCAACACATCTTTAACATTTGTTATCAACGTCAATAGGCTGAATTGTGTACCCTATTATAGGGTCAATGGTCTGGAATTAGTTGGGTTGATCTAACTATGGTCTTGGAGTTAGTTGGGTTGATCTAACTAGCCTGAAGCAAGTCATATTGGAAGTTGGCTAGTCTTGTTAGTATGAAGCAAACAAACGATTTTTTTTTTGTTTTTTAAAATTTTAAGCTAACACAAATCGAAAAATATCTAACTCTACCCAACTCTAATAGTCTGAATTATGAATAGTCTAAATTACTCACATTATTGAACGTATGAACATCGGTTAGTTTGAGTATTTTTTGTGATGACATGTAAAAGTAGATCGTAATTAAGAAGTGATTAAATTATAATTAAGTAGAGGATTATGGCCATAATGTGATGGAAAAGTGGGGGAAGTCTAAATTTTATTAATATAAATAAATGAATAAAGGAGAAGAAAAAATATCTGCTTCAATAAATGAATAATCCGTCTCATAAATTATGCATGAATTAGTTAGAAAATAATGTGTAATTTTTGGTATGTAATTAATAATTAAAATAAAGGGCATGCTTGTGTGATCGGACAGGTGGTCCCACAAATGGAAAATAGAGCAGCTGAGGAAGAAGATGAGGAAGACCATCCAACGTCACCTATCAATTGCTAAATTGCATTTTTCCACTATTTTTTTTTATGTCTTTTCGCTTTATTGGGTTCAATCTAAATTAATTAACAATGGTGTGAAAAAAAAAAAGGGTTTAATTAATATAATTGGGGGAAGGATTAATTGATTATGTCTCGCTCGAATGATTTTAAACATGCGAATGCAAGCTACCTGACTTTTACTTTTTAATCATAATTAGTAAATATAATAAAAAGTTTTAAGATATATTAATAAAATATCGTAACTCTAAATTATAATTAATCAAAAGTTTATGCGGTACTTAATTAATAAAAAATAGGAAGTAAAGTAAATAAAGTATTCAAATTAAATCTAATTATTATTAAAGTGATTTTATTTTCTAATTTAAATAATCTTTTTGACCAATTAACTTTATGAAAAAAATAATTTGATTACGATGTTTGACAAGGAAAAGACGTGTACGAAGAGTTTTTTGTTTGTGTGTAAATTCAACAATATGTAGGTACGAAAGATTTGATACTTCGATGACTCATGCACAAAGAAATTAGGTTAGAAACAATGTACGATAAAAAAAAATACTAATTTTATTAGGTTAGTGAACTATTTTTTTCATAAACTATTGCATCGATAATCACTAAACAATCACTAAAGAGGTCAAATAAAACACATTTTATTCTAAAAATCGACGTTTTTTTTTTTTGTTCCTTCATAATTATTTGAACTTAAAAAAGAAGAATAACTCACAAGTTTATGATAAAAATTGATACAAAATAAGTTTAGGGGTAAAAATAAGAATATTTTTATTCTAGGGGCATGAGAGATAATCCTTATATTTTGAGGGGGCACTTGTGAAAAGATAAAAAAATATAGTATACTAAAAAATCTGGACCTTGGGTCGAGCCGATTCCGCTCATTACCGCCGCACTTGATTGGAGCCCTATCGTTTTTACACCGCGGAGACCCGTCAGAGATCTGAAGCTCGAAGAACCGTTGAAATCACCTTGAACAACCCAAGCTCTTGCACTTGATTCGAAGGAAACCACTTCTTCCCGCTATGTTGCTGCAAAAAATTTCAGTAAACAGGAATTTGCTTCTTCATGTCGGACTGTCTCTGTCGCTTTCCTTTTTCATTATCTTCTTCAAGATCCCAACCCTCTTCCTTCATGGCATATTCACCTACATCCACCCTGATAACGCCAGCAGTGGCGTCCGAGCTGCGATTAGAAGACCTGACGGCTCTAACTCCGGTTCTGGTCTAGAGGGCTACCGAAACTTGTCGTCAACGAGTGCCGCTGAGATCAGGAAAAGAACGAAGTCGAAGGACAAGGAGAAGGTTGAGTTTGACGAAAGCAAGGCGCAGATCTTCAGGTTAAAGCTGGATGAGAATCATCTCCAAACGCGGATCTATTTCAAAGAATACAGAGATGGATTCACTTTTTCATTTGTCGGTATTTCTTGTTTACTGCTGCAATTTTTCTTGGGTGCCTCTGAAGATTCTGGAGTTTGGGGAAATGGGATGTTTGTTCCTCTTCTTTTCGCGATCTTCGCTGGATGTAAGTTGTTTGTATCACTCGGTAAGGTTGCTTTGGAGAAATCTGCGTCTAGGTCGTTGGATAGGCAATTGAGCTTACTTTTTGGAGTTTGTGGGTTTCTTTTTGGACTTCTAACCTGTTCTTCGTTTAGCCCTTTTATATTGGATTTTGATCTTGATCAAATTAGTGGTTTGGGGACCTTTTTCGTTGCCATGTTAATGGGTTGCTTTTCGGGGTTTTTGTTTATACCTGCAACAAAAATCGCTCGCTCTTTTTGGCTTGGAACTGATCAAATTAGATGCAACTTGGAAATGGTTTATTGTGGGTGGTTTTCTCGGATGATTTTGTATGCGAGTCAGGTGGCCATGTTTTTCACCACCCTGCTTTGGGTCAAACCATTAGCTGAAATTTTCATTAACAAGAACATTGGCGGAAGTGAAATTGAACATATGTTAAATGAAATCGAAAATGCTGACAGATTGGTCGGAAATATAGGATTCTCAAAGGCTGATTTTCCCAAGCTTAGGCTCTGGTGTTTGGCACTGTCTGGTTTCTTGCAAATCATTGCTGTGAGGCAAAACTTACAAATGTATCTGAACGAAGCTCTGCTATCTTGGTATCAAAGACTGCATGCCGGGAAAGTTCCTGAATTGGATTTCAGTAGAGCAAAGGTTTTTCTGCACAATCACTACTTATGTGTGACTTCTTTGCAGTTTTTTGCTCCACCAGCCTTAGTTTTGCTTTTCTTTGGGTTATCTCAAATTAGTATCAACTCTTTGGAAGGCACCAGTTTGGCTAGTTTTATTCTTTCCTGCTCTCCTTTAATCAAACAAGTGCCTCTGGTAATGGCTTGGTGGATTGTCTCTGTAATGTCTATTTATACATCAGCCACCATCGTGCTATATCGTCGTGGCGTGCTGTACGTTTCTTGAAATGCAGAATATGTTTGTTTTTCTTCTCTCTTTTGGCTTTGTGATTCCAAATTCTCACCGAAATTTGGTCCATGGAGTTTGTACTGCTGTAAGAGTTTCGTTAGAACAGCACTTTATTTGGCTGTAAACATGACAATATCCTATGAATCATTTTGTATAAACGGATGCTGGTCGAGGGATCAAAGTTTAGATGGGTTTTTTCTGTCATGGTGCCTAATTTTCTTTGACTTCTCAGTGGTCTCTTCTTCAATCTCTACCAGTTCAGGTATGTATTTCTTTCGAACAAACTGTTTCATTCCGGTCTCGTGATTCTGATTGATCTGGCTCTGTCTAATATTGATATCTGTCTTAGTTTTCGAGTAGGAAAGGAGAAGATCCATATAACTTATTTGCAATTTTTTTTGTTGATATGATTCTTTTATCATCCTTGGTATGAACATGATATGTTTGATAACCTGTTTAAAGTGGTTTGAGATGGCCTCTAGATTGAAGGTAAAACTGGAGAAATGGAAGAGTAGTAACAAGATTGAGGGCTTCTTGGAGAAATGGAAAGTTTTCAAAATTTCAAAGAAGGGTTTCATATTCCAAGGAAGATAGTGTTGTTCTTAGAAAGAAAATTGAGGGTTTCATTTGGTTTGGGGAAGTGAAAAAAATATTAGTCATGAAGTTGAGTGGGAAACTGTGACTTTTACCTTCTGAAAAAGATGGCATTGGTGTTGGGAATTTGAATTTGAATTTGAAGGAAAGGATTGTGACTTTAGAGGTTTCCATTGGAGAGAGAGAGGGGAAGTTCTGAAAAGGTAAACGTTAGAAAAACGGGAAGATTCTCGTGGCCCACCCATTATGTATCACTGTCATCCTCACGATCTTAAAATGCATTTAATGAGAGGTTTTCACATCCTTATAAGAAATGCTTCGTTTCCCTCTACAATCAGAGTCTACAATCAATGTGAGATTGTTCTCATCTCTGATTGACGTGGGATCTTACTATCCATCTCTTGGGGCTAGCATCCTCGATGGCATATTGCTTGGTGTTTGGTTTCGATATCATTTGTAACAGCTTAAATCCACTGTTAGTAGCTATTGTCTACTGTCAGCCTTGTGGTTTTAAAATCCATCTACCATAGATAAATTTTCACTCTTAGAAGAAATGTTTTGCTTCCCTCTACCATCAATGTGAGATTGTTCTCATCTCCGATCGATGTGGGATCTTACTATCCACCCCTTGGGGCTTGCATCCTAGCTGACATACTGCTTGGTGCTTGGTCTCGATATCATTTGTAACAGCTCAAATCCATTGTTAGCAGCTGTTGTCTACTGTCAGCCTCGTATTGTCTACTGTCAGCTTTATAGTTTCAAAACGCATATACTAGATATAGGTTTTCACGCTTATAAGAAATGTTTCGTTTTCCTCTCTAACTAATACGGTCTTTGGTAGCTATGCCGAGTTGTCGATGTCATTGCTCATTTGGTTGGAAATTTGGTTTTGAGTGTCAATTACAAGTGTCTTGGTCTTTGATGAAGTGAGAAAAGATGATATTTTGGAACTAGTTGTGTTGTCAAAGATTCCACAAAATGGGCATACTTTGTGGGTCAAATGTAATAAAGACTTTTTGACTTGGCGAATATGGATACAGACATTTTGGGACTACTTTCATTCTCTCCTTTAAATTATACTCCTTTTTCCATTTATTTATTTCTTAAATAAATAAATAACATAACATAACATAATAAAATAATCTACGTGGATAGCTTAAAATAAATATTAAAAAAAAAATCCTTGGCCTTTCGGGGAAGTATCTCAAATTTGTATATATAAAAAGGAACTTCTCTTACTACTTCTACCACGAAGCTTCTAGAATTGAAATTCAATGGCCTTTCCTGGAAAAGGGCTTCGTACCTTTCCGCTTTAATTCGTATCTCGAAGCTTTTCTTTAGGGTTTGGAACTTGCCTACGATCTTTCCGGGATCTGATTTTCTTGATTCTTGTGCCTCCTCTCATGGAGGAGCCGACCGCCAAATCGACGTCTGCCGGCGCCGATTCACCGAGATCTGTGCCCACTCCTTTCTTGTCCAAAACGTATCAGCTCGTTGATGACCAGACGGTCGACCATGTCATTTCGTGGAACGACGATGGCTCTACCTTCATCGTTTGGAACACCTTGGCTTTTGCTAGAGATTTGCTCCCCAAGCATTTCAAGCATAATAACTTCACTAGCTTCCTCCGCCAGCTCAATACTTATGTAATCGATCTTCTACTGGATTTCTATTTCATTGATGTTTCCTTCTGAAGCGTGTAATGGATATGTGTTTCATTTCGGATTTTTTTTTTTTTTTTTTTGGTTTTAGGGATTTAGAAAGGTTGTATCGGACCGGTGGGAGTTTGCGAACGAGTGCTTTCGTAAGGGCAAGAAACAGCTTCTATGTGAGATTCAGCGTCGGAAATTGACCACTCCGGTGCTGACCACTGCTTCTAACTCGGTTGTGTTGACAGCCGTTGGTGCTTCGGCGATTCCGTCTGCCCATCTATTGACGGGGAGTTCTTCCGGTGAAGAACAAGTGATTTCGTCGGATGTAACTCCGACGAAAGATCTTGTGGAGTTGATTGATGAGAACGATAAGCTGAAAAAAGAGAAAGTTCGGCTGACGGAACAATTAACTGAGGTGAAATCCCTGTGCAACAACATCTTCTCCTTGATGTCGAGCTTCGTCGAAAACCAATTGAAGAGCAGTTGCAAAGTTAGAGAGAGCGTTTTAGCGTCGGCAAAATCGCTGGATCTTTTCCCGTTGAAGCGGCGTTCCGAAGAAGACGAAGCGGCAGAGGCCATGGAAGCGGAGACGTATCAGATCGGAGCAAAGCGGCCTAGAGAATACAGGGAGGGGCCGGAAGCGGCGGAGGATGATACTACTCTGCGACTTCAACCACCGGAGAGACCGAAAGTGAAATCAGACCGGATAATTTGAGAACAGAAAGTTGATAATGAGAAAACGTGGCATAATCAGGTCCACTGAGAGAGGATTGTGAAATATCTGTAATTAAAGGGCTAGGATTAAAGTATCGACTTCCAGGTTCAAGTAATCAGCGGTGCAGGGAATCATTCCTCAAATGTGGGAAAGACGGCACGTGTGGCAGCCTTTTAGGCTGAGGGGATAAATTAAGGAGATTTGAATTAAATATCAAGTGTATTTTTTGTATTTTGAAAGGAAAGTAATACTTTATTTTTTAGTTATATTATTAATCATTTTTCATATTAGCTGGAATTGTAATTAAAATTTTATAGTGTATTTTTATACTTCTAATTTTAATTAATTAATTCAAGTGACGTAATTATGGAATATACTACAATATTTAAAATCAACCTCTAGCTCGATTCCAACCCAACTCGAGTACGAACAAGTCAATCAAAATTTTAAATTTTGTATTTTATAATTGATATCCAATGAAACTATTCTGCAGACATGTTTTAAAATCTTGAAGTTGATAATGATCTGTAACGGACTATCTACTACGGTGGGTTTGAGCTATTACAAATGATATCAAAGCTAGACATCAGATACTGTGTTAGCAATATCTACTACTGTGGGTTTGAGCTCTTACAAATGATATCAAAGCTAGACATCATACTGTGTTAGCAAGTACGTTGAGTCTGAAGGAGGTAGATTGTGAGATCCCACATTGACAATCTCACATCGGTTGGAGAAGAGAACAAAACACTTGTTATAAAGATGTGAAAACCGTCTCCCTAGTAGATGCATTTTAAAACCATGAGGCTGACGACAATACATAACAGATTAAAGCGGACAATATTTACTAGAGCTTAGCAGTAGAACACGTTCTATGACAAAGATAAAAGATGTGATTGATTGGATTGGATTAGATTAGATGATAAAATGTAATACAACTCTGAACAAATTCGAGCATATCCTCTACTAATATACTTGTTTACAGTGTTATATTCAAGCTCTAAATCTTTCTTACTGTAATTTGATCCCTTTAAGAAACTTGAATACCTGAAGCATGGAAGGTCTGTTAGCAGGATTTTCAGACAGACAAACACAAGCAATCTTTAGAGTTTGAAGCATCATATGCTTTGAATCAGCATTCAAAACCGTCACGTCCAGAACCTCCGCCCCCTCACCCTTCTTGATCTTCTGAAACACCCAACCAACCAGATTCCCACCTTCAATCTCCTTAAACTCAGGTCCTGTTGGTTCCTTCCCAGTTACCAGTTCCAGCAGAATCACTCCGAAGCTATAAACGTCTCCTTTCGCCGTCGATCTCCCGCTCTGCCCGTACTCCGGCGGAATGTAACCAAACGTTCCAGCTATCTCAGTTGTCACATGAGTCTCACAAGCACTGATCAACCTTGCCAATCCAAAGTCACCAACTTTTGGTTCAAACTCTTCATTCAGTAGTATATTACTTGCCTTAACATCCCTATGAATGATGTGGGGGATGAATCCATGGTGAAGAAATGCCAATCCACACGCTGCGCCCGAAGCGACTTTGAGCCGAGTCTCCCAGTTAAGAACTTCAAGCGCACTGGTTCGGTTTCGCAGCCAAAGATCCAAGCTACCATTCACCATATACTCATACACAAGAAGCTTCTCCTCCCCAAGAGAGCAGTAGCCAAGCAATGGAACAAGGTTATGATGCTTTACTTTGCCTATGGTTTCCATTTCAGCCATGAATTCCCTGTGCCCCTGTGTTTTTGCTTGGCTTAGCTTCTTGACAGCAACAATTTTCCCATCAGGCAAGGTGGCCTTGTACACTGTCCCAAATCCTCCATCTCCAATGATGTTTGTTTTACAGAAGTTATTGGTTGCTTCAAGGATATCAACCAAAGTTAGCTTCAGAAGCGGCTGCTCGAACATCGCCACGTTGATGCTTAACGGCTCTTTCGATCTACTGCTGCTTAAGAAATAGAGATTGGGATCCATCAAACTGTTTAGTTTGCTTTCCTCCATGTCCTCTGGATCATCATCTCTATGGCTTCGAATAATCCGTTTTCGCATAGCAAACGCCACGGAAAAAACGACAAGAACACTAACAATGATAATCCCAGCAACACTCCAAGCATTCAAGACTGCAGATCTTTCCATGCTTTTGATCTTGCAATTGTAACCCATGATTCTTCCACAAAGATTCTTGTTCCCAACAAATGAACTTTTGGATAGATTCTGGCAAATGCCGCTTTTCGGGATGGGTCCTTCGAGACTGTTTTTCGCCAAATTCAGGTAGAACATATTGAACAGGCTGCATATTTTCTCTGGAATCTCTCCTGAGAGCTTGTTATTTGAAACATCTAAGTACTCAAGTTGCATAAGATCCCCAAGATCTGGAGGGATTGGCCCTGTGAAATTATTTCCATGAAGATCCAAAGTTGTCAAGTATGAAAGGTTGCCTAATGCTCGTGGAAGAACGCCCTCGAACTCGTTACGACTCAAATTCAAAGCTTCAATCTTCCATGTAAATGAGCTTGGGAAAAGCTCTACAATCTGTCCAGAAAGCCTGTTCTCTTGTACATAAAGCCCCACAAGATTCAACACGTTGGACAGAGACAAAGGAAGATCACCATCCAACTCATTAGAACTTAGATCCAAATGAGTTAAAGCTTTCAGATCACCAAGAGTTTCTGGAACTGAACCAGATAGTCTATTACCAGTTAAGTTCAACTTCACCAAGCTACTCAAACGACTCAAGCTTACCGGGATCGATCCGGTGAGGCGATTATTCCCAAGATACAGGCCTTGCAGCTTGAGAACATCGCCGAGCTCTGCGGGAATAGGACCGGAAAGCATATTGCCAGACAAATCCAAGGTTGTCAGGTTTGTTAAGAGAGAAAGAGATTTAGGAATCTCTCCAGAAAGTAGATTATTGTTCAGTAAAAGATCCACCACGACAACACACTCCCCCAGTTCATCAGGTATGCTACCCGACAATCTATTATGGGACAAATCAAAAACACCATGATGTTGAACAAAGCTCAAATCAGGAATAGTCACTTGTTGAAAATAAGCAGATGTCTTGGAAGGTATTGCTCCAGATAACTCATTGTGCGAAAGAACAAGGCACTGTAATTCAGCAAGCTCTGCAAGTCCTTCCGGTATCGACCCGTTTAGACCGTTGTTTCCGAGGTCCAATGTGGTAAGAGCTTTACAATCTCCAAGCATGGTTGGAATAGTTCCTTCAAGCAGATTTGAATTCAAGTTTAGAACAGAAAGGGCTGTGAGATTTCCAATCTCATTTGGTATTGTGCCTGTCAACCTATTGTTGCTAAGAACAAGCCTCTGAAGTGAAGCTGCATAACCAATCTCTGAAGGGAGATGACCCTCCAATTGGTTATTTGCAGCAGAAAACTCCATCAAATTCACCGAGTTCCATATACTTCTTGGTAACAAACCGGTGAAATTATTCGAGTCGAGGTTGATTACGAGTAAGGGAAGGTCTGAGAAGTACTCAGGTATTGCACCAACAATCAGATTGTCTACCAAAACCAACTGTGTAAGGTTTCTACACAGCACGAACGTGTCGTCGATCGAACCCGAAAGGAAATTACTATCAAGATCAATCTCCATCAAGGATGCAGCATTACAAATCTCTTTAGGTATTGAACCTGTTAACATGTTATTTCTCAAACTGAGGTGATTAAGCATTGAGCAATTCCCAATCTCAGGTGGGATTTCCCCGGTGAACCGATTACTCGACAGTAAGATCGATTCAACACGATCCCATTTGCCAAGCCAAGAAGGCAATGGCCCAGAAAGCTGATTCTTCTCTGCAGAAAATGTCAAGATGGGAAGCTCTGAAAGCTCTTGTGGCAACATCCCAGATAGAGAGTTGAATGAAAGCATCAATGTTTTCAAGTTTTTGCAGTTTCCAAGTTCAGCAGGAATGGAACCATTAATGTCAGTGTAAACCAGATTCAATATGGTCAAGTTCTGTAACTCACCAATCGATTTTGGGATAGAACATTCAAGTGGGTTGTATGAAAGGTCCAGTTTACTCAATGATTTCAACTTGGATAGTTCTTCGGGCAATGGACCAGTTAAAGAACAAGAAGGAGCGAAAAAGTTCTCTAGCAACACAAGATTACCAAATTCAGGCGGCAACTCGCCGGAAAAGTGGTTAATGCCGATGTAAAGGTCAGTCAAATGCTGTAGATTACCAATTTCAGGTGGGATTGAACCAGAAAACGAGTTGTTGGAAATGTCCAAAGAAGTTAAGGATTTAAGCTCAGTAAAGATGGTTAATGGGAGTGAACCTGATAAAAGATTGTTGCCAAGGTCCAACGATAAGATTCTCGTCAAATTTCCGATATGGGTCGGAACATTTCCGACGAAGGCATTGCCGGAAAGGTCAAGCGTCCGTAGTTGCTTTAACTTTCCAAGCTCCGGCGGGATTGTCCCTGTAAACAAATTACTCCCCAACTTGAGATTCTCCATCTGGGTCAACTCAGTGAGTCCGATGGGGAAGTCGCCGGAAAACTGATTTCCGTCGAGAGCGAGCACCTTCAAGCTCCGAAGATTGGATATCTGAGGTGGGATTGAGCCATAGAGGTCGTTGTTTGAAAGGTCAAGAACAGAGAGGCTCGAGATATTGAAAAGGGAAGGAGACAGTCGGCCTTTAAGGGAACGAGATGAAAGGGAGAGCTCTGTAACTCGACGGAATCGGCAAGAAACGCCGACCCAAAAGCAGTGAGGGACCAATGAGTTCCATGGAAGGGTTTTTGAGGTGTCTAGCAATGCTTTGAAAGAAAGCAAGCTTTCTCTGTCGAGAAGAATCTGATTGTGGTCAGAAACGCCATTGGAGGTCAAAATACAGAGCTCGAAGAAGAAGAAGAAAATGAGAAAGAGGCGTTTCAGCTCCATACCCATATGAAATACCATGAAATCTCAATCGTTTAAACCCCAACTGCAAAAAAAATGAAGAAGAGAAACCTCAAATTTCATGGCAGTTGAAGAAGAAGAAGAAGAAGAAGAAGAAGAAAGTTAAGCGCCATAGGTAGAATTTAATGGAAGGGATTATTGTAAAATATAGCCCACAAATATTTATGTTTTTGAAAAAACTAAATTTTTTTTTATCCTTTTACTAATGAAATATGACGTCAGCATGAAAAAAAATTATGTATATAAAATTGGGCTTGTGCCTTCATTAAATATTAGATAAAATAAATGTATATTAAAATTTATTTAAATAATTCTTTTAATCTAAATTACTAAAATTTTAATAATATATATATATTTAGCAAATTCCCCATTTTTGTGGCAGTAAGGGTAAAATCGTAATTTATATTTCCTTAACATGAAAAGTAATCCCAAATTACTAATTTTAATATAGGGGCATTTCTTACAATTAACCACAATGAAAGAACTATGGCAAAAAAAGCCTTGTGGTAAAAAAGGAGGTGCAGCTCACGTGACTTGAGGGATGTTCTGTTTTTTTTTTTTTTTTACTTTCAGACCCTTCAAATTCCTTGTTTTTACTTTTGGGTATTTATTTTGAAGTCCTTCAAGTTTTGAGAAATTCAAGTTTTTGACTTGTGGGTATTTATTTTGAAGTCCTCCAAGTTTTGAGAAATTCAGCTCTTGTGGAAAACACAAAGCTTTGTGTTTGGAGCCCTAATATCTTATTCCTATATGCTCTCTCTATACCTTTTTTGCATTTATTCCAAGCTTTTTGGGTCAATTATTGTGGGACAGAATCAAATTTGGTCAAAAAAACGGAACATAGAGTCCCAATTATTCGACTTATGTTTGTGGGTTTTAGGGTTCTTACTTACTCATAGGGCTTTGGTGTAAGATTTTAGATCCGTTGAATGAAGTGGTTCGGAATTGATAGAAGGAAGTACGCATTAGATATATTTGCATCTGTTTATTCTGAGTTGTATGTGACTCTGTGATGATTGTTCTTATATTAGTAAAATCATTTATGGAGTAGTAAATGACACATGGTATTTATGAACGTTGCCACTATGGTCACTAGCTAGATCGTTTTGACTCATAGTTAGATGGCCCGTGTTTGGTTTTGCAAGCTGGATGCTAGTGTTTTCTTGACTGAGTAGGGTGATAAGCTGGATGACTTACTTTCGAGACAGATTTTGGTCATAAGCTAGATGACCTGCATTTTGAAATGGATTTTAGGTTCCACTGTTGTACTTAGATGTTGTTGTATGTGTATGCATATGTAAACCTAAAAATGGTTGTTTGCTGGGTATTCTTTATACTCGACCTTTTCACAACTGTGTTAGTGCTGAGGATTGTTTAGAAAAGGAGTCCCACGTTAGCTAATGGAAGAAAAAATCATGAGTTTATTAGTAAGGAATACTATCTCCATTGGTACGAGAATTCTTGAAGAAACCAAAATAAAATTACGAGGGTTTATGTTTAAAATAGACAATATCATACCAATATAGAGGTCCGAAATTTTAAAAACGCATTAACATGTATAATGCATGGGAGAGATAAAAATAGTACAATAATTTGGCACACATTTGCTGTTTCGATGATTCTTTTTTTGGTACAAAACAACCCAACACAATCCTTAACTAACAAATAAAGACAATTGAAACTTGTTGGTTATGTTTTGTCTATGTATCTTTATCCTTTCTCCTCGATCAAATAGAGTAGCTATTTGACTTTTCTCTCGAGTTTTTTTCAATCAAATTTGTTATCATATAGGCAACAAGTTTCTTCTTCGGCCGAAGCACCTAAACCACTACAACCAAATTAGGTATGTAATTATTGGAGAGACACAAACAGGGGATAACACGATAACTTATTTGTTGCACTATATCACTATGAACAGAGGAACTTTTGCTCACGTTATATGTCCTTTAGTATACGTATCAAAACTAACAACATTCGAGATTATGCATGATTAAACACACAAAAAAAAAAGGCTCTCTAACTAATCCTACGTCCCTTATTCTTATGAGATTTTTCTCCACTATCAGGTTTTAGAACGAGCATAATACGTTTTAAAATAAAAACGTTTAATTCTCATAAAAATTTCCACTTTTTGAGAGAGATGCTTCTATCCTTGGCCTCTATGAAGCTATTGTCCTTATTTATTAGACTATTCAATAAGTTTTTCTTTTTTTTAAATGAGCACCTACTTTAATTTAATTCCATTTAACTCTAACTCCAACTAGGAATTGGAGGTTGGCTGACCATAAAATTAGGTCATTTCACTTTTTTTTTTTAAATAAAAAATTAAATAATTTTGATAGATATTGTCTGTCTTAGTCTGTTATGTATTGCCCTCAACCTCACGATTTTAAAACGCGTCTATGGAGAGGATCTAGCCCTACTTCGATCAATGCAATGCATCGTCTAGTGATTGGCTCTGATATCATTTATAACAGTCTAAGTCTACCACTAGTAGATATTATTCCACATCGGTTGGAGAGGAGAACAATTACTTATATGTGTGGAAACGTCTCCTAGTAGACATGTTTTAAAATTTTGAGGGGAAGCCCCCAAAGAAAAATCCAAAGATGACAATATTTGTTAGTGATGAGTTTGAGCAATTACAAATAGTATTAGAGGCAGACATGGGGGAGTGTGTCAGCAATGACGGTAACCCTCAAGAAGGATGGATTGTGAGTTCTCACGTCAACTCGAGAGAAGAATGAAACATTTTTTGTTTATAAAAATGTAGAAATCTCTCGTTAGCAAACATATTTTAAAATTATGAGGTTGACGACGATACGTAATAGACTAAATCAAACAATATCTATTAGCCGATTACATTTTAATACAACAATTATGGTGAAAATTTACCATTTTTAACCATGATGGAAGGGAATATAAATGTGAGCAGTAAGTTTTAAATATTGGTGGTAAAGTATATACTATAATTTATAACATGCATTAATTAGGTAATTATTATTATTATTATTTTATTGGTGGGGAAATAGTTTAGAAAATTGACACGTGGATATATATATATATATATATATATATTTTTGTGATTCAAAGAAGAGTACAAATTTGGTCAATAATTTAAAAGGCTATAAACCTGAAAAGAACAAAAGTTTGAAGTCCAAGGTTTTTAAAATTTGCAAAAATGGGTCCCTTCTTTTTCTTCTTTTCACAAAAGGTATGTTTGGTTTTGGGCCAGGACCAGTTTCAGATTCGGGGCCCCGAACTGACACATAAACTCCTCTGCTCCGCAGAGTTGCTGGACCCGGTCTTGGGGGTATTTATGTCCTTTCATTATTACAATTTTTACTCGGTTCAATCTTCTCTGATTCTGTACCAAAACCGAACCGAACCGAACCGATTAGTACGAAGAGCTGCAGTTTCCGTAGAAAAAACAGAGAAAATCACGTAAAAATCTTCAGAGAAGAGATTTTCCGGGAAAATTTTTGTGGGTCGGAAGAGAAAATGAAGGTTTTTAGTTTAATGGGTGAGCGTTAGCGAGTGGCAGCCCCTGCAGTGACATCAATGATCATGTACTGCAACTGCAGCCGTTTCAGAGGCAGAGATTTCCGAACAGAGCAAAAACAGAGCATTCATTTTGAGAAAGGGGGAATAAAGAACACAAAAAGGGATTGGACATAAATTGTTGATTGTGAAAGGAGGTTGCGTAAGTGAGCTCAAAACTTGAAGTTTTGTGGTGTAAGTTTTGGTCGTTTTTTCATTTAATGTCGGAGGCAGACAGAGTTCTGAATTGGTAAGTTTGGTCAGGATTCTTTAGTTTTGGCTGCAGACTAAATTTGTGTTCATGACAACTTTGTGTTCTTCCATTATAAATTAAATGAGATAACTATTGCCTGCCTTATGTGAGAACTTTATAAAGGTTCATTTGGACTTTCCTCATATAAAACAAGAAATGAGCTGGTAATTGTCATGGCCATGCATGTCCAACTCGTGTTGCCTATGGTCCCATGCTTGTTTTAGGCCTTATTTCCTATTGCTGCATGTCCGGTCATGTTTGTCCATGACGTGTTGTTCATGGCCGCATCGCATGTCCGTTCCAAACCCCTTTTACATGCTTTCATCTTATGTAAGTCTTTCCTATTTCATGTTGTGTTAATATGGGGATGTATGATCGGTCACCAAAATCATCTCTACACCTGCTAGAGCTAAAATGCCCCAAAATGTACTACAGGTAGATATCACTAGTTGTCATTTCTTCCCACGCGAGTTGTTTGTTGCCTACTCACTTTTAGCCCGTTGTTTGTTGCTTACTCACTTTTAGCTTATAATATTGCTTTCTTTCAAATTGTTTTCCACGAATTCTAAAACATTTCTTTCAAAAACATGACTTGAGACTCAAGCATACATCGACATTGTCCATAAAGTCCAAATTTCTCACGACTGACTTGTTCGTTGGGTTAGAACAAGTATTGCACAATCGTTGCCCCGTTGCTGCATTAGGGTAAAAAGATAAAAAGCTCCTCATAGATTTGTAAAGCAAAAACCAAACTAAAACCATTTTTTGAATTGGAGAAATAAGTAGACACTACATCACAAACATACAGATGAGTTCTAACCGGTCATCGAGTCAATACCCGAACCACCCACACGACAACCGCAACATTACAAACTTATGTAAACCCAATACGAAATCACATGTTCGTGGTTCGTTCTTGACTAGAAACCTATGCTTTGACCATTCTTTGTCTGAGATCTTCTCATGTTCAGTCTATGAAAATTTTCCCATAAACTTTGCATATGAGCCTACACTTACCTTTCTAATGAAAGCTTGCTAAACGAGCAAGCATCGTTACGATACTCGAAGGGCGACTTTGATCTTTTGGATGGTGCAAGAAATGAGATTGTTAACTGTCTCAACTGACTCAACGGTGAGTTTGGCTGTTGGAAGGTTATTCACCAAGATTTGGAATGCAACTGTGAGAAGGCATCCACCAGCATAGCCACTGTTAATGTCTGACATGATCGAACCGTCTTTGTCGTTGTTAGTAGAAGCATAGATGGATGGGCCATCGGGGAGAATGGCGAATCCTGAAGGTAGTAGCGATACATAAGCCGAATCTCCTCCACGCATCACCAAGTTAATGGAGGCTGCGTCGACTGGAGCGTAAACGATCAGTGAGCCTGAAATATCAGTCCAACTCTCTTGCAATATAAGCATGGTGTTCTCATTAGCATTCATGGGCTGCAAAAAATAAAATGTTAGTATGCGGATGAATGAGTCTTGAGGAAATCATCTATACAGACACAGTTCGAGATTGCTCACGTTAGCGCGCAGGAGAGAAACACGGTTATCCAGTCCCTGGCCTTTCGATATGCGAAGCATCTCTATCATTGGTCTGCCATTGGATAAAATGTCCCATTCGCTCCGTAAGCACTCGTCTTGCAAGAATGCAAACAATCTCTGCTGAGTTACTGGCATCCAAACAGAAGTTGCAGCGCTCAACACGATACCCGGTGGCTCGCCAGGATCGTTGATGCTGTTTCTAGCCATCATTTTTACATCTTCACTAATATTGCCAACAACAAGCTTGTCCCACTTATGCAATGTTGAAGTACAAATCCCAGAACAGAAGTTATCAACCATACGCTGGGATAGTTTCAGCATACTTCGCCTACCGTGTGGTGATATTCCTGTTTGAATCAGACATGTAAGAACCCGAACGAAAATAGACTACACAAAGATCGAGTAACAAGACGAAATGAGACCTGCAGGATCTTCCGTAGAAGACATAAGAATTGCCAGACAGTCACATTGTCTTTGAAGGGTAGCAAGCCACCGTTGCGAACCGAAGCCGATGCCCCAACTAATTATCTGGCGGTAAAGTTGGTGTACAACAGTTTCATCATATTCTGTATGTTCCACCCATGTAACCTACAACAAACAAACCATCAATCAACATGACAAGACATCAGTCAGTGGGGTGGATTGTGAGATCCCACATCGGTTGGCAAGGGGAATGAAGAATTCCTTATAAGGGTGTGGAAACCTCTGCTTAGTAGACACGTTTTAAAACCGTCAACCTGACGGCAATACAAATAATTTTAAGAGTACTTTTCCAAACCACTTATGGGCCAAGTTCTTGCTCAGTAATCCCTCATAGATAAGAAATCTAGAACAGTCCAGTTTGTGTACTTTCCAAATAGAATAAGTTCAGAAATCAATGTGTTCCAAAACTTCGACCAGCACATCTTGTGTAATACTTCAATACATGAAAACGTCGTGTTGTATTCTTAAAACGAAGCTAAAACGTCATCATGTTTCATAAGGTTCTGTGTAAACTATCAATAGACCAGATCCAGATCATACACTCTCGTGGATCGGAAACGAAACAACGCTGATAGCGAGAGCAGAATGCAGGCATCAAACGAATAAAATATGCACATGAAAGAAATCTGAAGATTAGTAACTACCTTGGAGAAACCATTAGGCATATCTTGCACAATACAGCCGGAAGGGAGCCTCCTGCAACTGAAAAACATGTCTGCATCCGCGCCTTCTCCGAGGGAAACATCAACTACAGCCCACAGACCATCAGCATGCTGCTTGCAGAAGCGGAGGAACTTAAGAGTACGAACAGGAACAAGCGGGGAAAGTACTCGAAGTTCAGCATGCATCTGAACATATCGACGTTCTTTAGTTTATCTATAAGTATGTATCCACACGTTAATGTCGGGAGAAGGAGGGGCATAGAGAAATACCAATTGTAATGAACCATTTCTAGTTCCACCCATGCCATTTGATATCACATCGATTGTTGTGGCTCTAGCAATCAAACAAGGAAACATTTCTGCCCATCGGTTCTATTTTAAAGCCAAACAAACAATTTGTTATCAAAGCATAAACTTATTACATACATCTAAATGGACAATAATCCATAAAAGTTCTTGAAGCTGAAGAATAGCAAAAAGGGTTGAGAATACATACTGCATCCATCAACGTCTCGATGAGTGCCATGCTGTTGATGATGACCATTGTAGTATCTCTGGTAGCCTCTGTCGTCCAATTAGTGTGTTGCATGGCAGCCGACGAAGGAAATGTCCTGGAATATTCGTCAAAGTTCAACGTCTCTTTGCCACTGCTATCCCGGCTTCTGACCCAAAGGGGGGTATCAATTTGAGCCATCTTAACCAATTCATCCATAGCAGCCAAAGCAAGATCCACATATATTGTTCTGTCAATTGGTATATCATTGCCTGGCATGCCCATTTGAGACTTACTAATAGGCATCACAGGGCCACCATTGAAAAGTCCGTTTCCCAAGTTAAGCCCCATAGGAATAGGATCAGAAATGTTACTCACATTTCCCATTCCATTTCTTCCAACAGAAAGTTCCAAGCACGAGTCAGAGCTCACTGAAGAGCTATGATTGACAAAGGGCAAAACTGGCCAGCCCAAGAACTTGTTGGTGACGGTATATAACCGGTGCAGTTCATCCCTTAATCTGGCATTATCAATCCTAAGCTGGTGTTCCTCGAACGATAGATGAACAGGAATTGAAGGTCCACCGCATGTATTGCACGTTGGGTTCGAAATAGCATCCTTCATCACACTATTCTCGGCCCGAAGCTTATCGTTTTCGTGCTTAAGAATTGCATTCTCATGGCGTTCTATTTGTGTCTGATACATTTTCAAAAATGGCTAAATTGTTAATTACCTTCATCACCACGGATCTTAACAAACAAGCATAAACCAAAAAGATGTACAAGTGCTTACCTTCATCTGGGTTCGACGATTTTGAAACCAAAACTTCACTTGCTTCGACTCCAAACCAAGTCTCCTACTGAGCTCACTCCTTTGTTTATCATCTGGATGAGGACATTCCTTGAAGAAACTAAACCAAACAAGCAAAGCAAAGAAAAAATATTCCAAATCATCAAACTCTTATATGCCGTTTGGAAAAATATTACTAAGCACACACTATAGAAAGGCTAAACAATGAGATGTGAAATTAAGAGATATACATCTCAAGCTCTTGGATCTGATGGGGGGTATGCCTATGGTACTTCTTCCTTTTTCGTCGTCGTTCGTCGTTAGCATCCTGATCATCCCCAGATACAGCACCATCGATGTTGTCGCTGCCTGATCTGCTATCATATTCATCTTCCCTCATCCTCACAACTCCATTCGGATCAAAGCTGTCCCCAAGCAGACAAGCTTCTCTATATCCATCCATTTTCCCCTGCAACATAAAGCCATTAGCGTTTATTCACAAACAAGAAAGGACCCTAAAACTAATGCATAAACAAAGCAAGTCTAACGCAATGGATATGAATTACAATGGAAGTGGAATAAAATGGTTCGTACTATGGAATTGGAGAATTCAGAGGAGTTAGGCAATGAACAGGGAATTGGGAAAGCCAGAAAGCTCGGGTCAGCAACTGCACCATTAGGCATGATATGGTTGTATTAGCCACGGCTCTATCCTTCTGATCAAACCCACAAAAATTCAACAGATACACAACTTTTTATTTGCTTAGACAAGCAAATTCTCCTCACTTGAATGAATTTGAGGGATACCCACGTCCGTTTATAAGGGTTAAAGGCTTAAAAAGTGGGAGTTCTAAGGGATATAAGTAACCGTCCATTCGATTTCTGGGTTTGACTATAGCAAAGCAATGACATACTCATAAATACTGACAACAAAATGGACATTTCTCAATAGAAAACAGAAAGTACCAAGCTTTTTCCTCGTCAACGCCCATGCATGAATCATGACTTTTCACCTCCCTGTGTCTATCTTTTGAACACTCTCTTTGTCCAGAAAACAGTTGCAGAACAGTACAAAAACCAAAAGCAACAGGACAAGAAAACTCCCTTTTTTCCTCAGTTCCTTCCAGTTCATACTTTAACTCTCTATTACCATACCAAGAACAAAAAGAGAAGAAGAAATTAAAAAAAAAAAAAAAAAAAAAAAAAAAAAAAAAAAAA